ACACACTGTTGCTGGTATTTTGGCCCATTCCTCCATGCAGATCTCCTCTAGAGCAGTGATGTTTTGGGGCTGTCGCTGGGCAACACGGACTTTCAACTCCCTCCAAAGATTTTCCATGGGGTTGAGATCTGGAGACTGGCTAGGCCACTCCAGGACCTTGAAATGCTTCTTACGAAGCCACTCCTTCGTTGCCCGGGCGGTGTGTTTGGGAACATTGTCATGCTGAAAGACCCAGCCACGTTTCACCTTCAATGCCCTTGCTGATGGAAGGAGGTTTTCACTCAAAATCTCACGATACATGGCCCCATTCATTCTTTCCTTTACACGGATCAGTCGTCCTGGTCCCTTTGCAGAAAAACAGCCCCAAAGCATGATGTTTCCACCGCCACGCTTCACAGTAGGTATGGTGCAACTCAGCATTCTTTGTCCTCCAAACACGACAAGTTGAGTTTTTACCAAAAAATTATATTTTGGTTTCATCTGACCATATGACATTCTCCCAATCCTCTTCTGGATCATCCAAATGCACTCTAGCAAACTTCAGACGGGCCTGGACATGCACTGGCTTAAGCAGGGGGACACGTCTGGCACTGCAGGATTTGAGTCCCTGGCGGCGTAGTGTGTTACTGATGGTAGGCTTTGTTACTTTGGTCCCAGCTCTCTGCAGGTCATTCACTAGGTCCCCCCGTGTGGTTCTGGGATTTTTGCTCACCGTTCTTGTGATCATTTTGACCCCATGGGGTGAGAACTTGCGTGGAGCCCCAGATCGAGGGAGATTATCAGTGGTCTTGTATGTCTTCCATTTCCTAATAATTGCTCCCACAGTTGATTTCTTCAAACCAAGCTGCTTACCTATTGCAGATTCAGTCTTACCAGCCTGGTGCAGGTCTACAATTTTGTTTCTGGTGTCCTTTGACAGCTCTTTGGTCTTGGCCATAGTGGAGTTTGGAGTGTGACTGTTTGAGGTTGTGGACAGGTGTCTTTTATACTGATAACAAGTTCAAACAGGTGCCATTAATACAGGTAATGAGTGGAGGACAGAGGAGCCTCTTAAAGAAGAAGTTACAGGTCTGTGAGAGCCAGAAATCTTGCTTGTTTGTAGGTGACCAAATACTTATTTTCCACCATCATTTGCAAATAAATTCATTAAAAATCCTACAATGTGATTTTCTGGATTTTTTTTCCTCAATTTGTCTGTCATAGTTGACGTGTACCTATGATGAAAATTACAGGCCTCTCTCATCTTTTTAAGTGGGAGAACTTGCACAATTGGTGGCTGACTAAATACTTTTTTTCCTCACTGTAGTGCTATTTCCATTTCTATTGTTTTTATTTCCATTTATATTATTTTATTTAGCATGTTGTAGCTCGAAGCATAAGATTTTCACTGTACCCTGCAATCACACCTGCAACCCGGTACATGTGACTGCTAAACACTGAATAGTAGTTGGTAATAAGCAATCTTGAAAGTATGCCTTACAGTTGAAGTCAGAAGTTTACATGCACTTAGGTTGGAGTCATTAAAACTTGTTTTTCAACCACTCCACCAATTTCTTGTTAACAAACTATAGTTTTGGCAAGTCGGTTACGACATCTACTTTGTGCATGACACAAGTAATTTTTCCAACAATTGTTTACAGACAGATTATTTCACTTATAATTCACTGTATCACAATTCCAGTGGGTCAGAAGTTTACATACACTAAGTTGACTGTGCCTTTAAACAGCTTGGAAAATTCCAGAAAATGATGTCATGGCTTTAGAAGCTTCTTCAGCAAGGAAGAAGCCACTGCTCCAAAACCATAAAAAAGCCAGACTACGGTTTGCAACTGCACATGGGGGACAAAGATCATACTTTTTGGAGAAATGTCCTCTGGTCTGATGAAACAAAAATAGAACTGTTTGGCCATAATGACCATCGTTATGTTTGGAGGGAAAAGGGGGTGGCTTGCAAGCCGAAGAACACCATCCCAACCGTGAAGCACGGGGGTGGCAGCATCATGCTGTGGGGGTGCTTTGCTGCAGAAGGGACTGGTGCACTTCACAAAATAGATGGAATCATGAGGAAGGAAAATTATGTGGATATATTGAAGCAACATCTCGAAATATCAGTCAGGAAGTTAAAGCTTGGTCGCAAATGGGTCTTCCAAACGGACAATGACCCCAAGCATACTTCCAAAGTTGTGGCAAAATGGCTTAAGGACAACAAAGTCAAGGTATTGGAGTGGCCATCACAAAGCCCTGACCTCAATCCTATAGAACATTTGTGGGCAGAACTGAAAAAGCGTGTGCGAGCAAGGAGGCCTACAAACCTGACTCAGTTACACCAGCTCTGTCAGGAGGAATGGGCCAAAATTAAACAAGTTAAACAATTTAAAGGCAATGCTACCAAATACTAATTGAGTGCATGTAAACTTCTGACCCACTGGGAATGTGATGAAAGAAATAAAAGCTGAAATAAATCATTCTCTCTACTATTATTCTGACATTTCACATTCTTAAAATAAAGTGGTGATCCTAACTGACCTAAGACAGGGAATTTTTACTAGGATTAAATGTCAGGAATTGTGAAAAACTGAGTTTAAATGTATTTGGCTAAGGTGTATGTAAGCTTCTGTCTTCAACTGTATCTACTTTGAAGAACTACTAAACTGATTTTGTCAGACGGCTCTGCAGCATAGGCATCTACTAACTAGCCACTGGCCTAGCTAAATAGGATGACTCAATTGAGAGAAACAGCGATAACGTTACATGGTTGTCTGGCTGGTAGCTTCTGCCTGAGTAGAGATGAGATGATGACTTTAGGAAATGAAATAATAAAGTCATCAAATAAAAAAAAGTAATATACACAACTAAAATATTTGATTAAAGTAAGGTCATGTGAATAAATGATGGTTAATAAGTATGCAGTAATGGACAGTCACTACCATCATGGGGCTCTTATTCATTGTTTTATTCTGTGTTGTTAGATAATGGAATGTTTTCAATGTTTTGGCAATTGAATGTTCTGAATATTTGCCTTTGGAATTTCAATTAAAAATCTCTAAAATCATTTCAAGGTCATATTTCGTAATGCATTTAATATTTGTTTATTTATTTATTTATTACCGAAACCGAAAACAGAACCGACCTCAAAAATCACTAACCACTCTGCACTAATAAGTTATATTCTTCAAGAATCAATGGGTATATATCACCAATTGAAATGTCCAAAAATTGATGTGGCAATCACAGATTGCCCCCTTTAAGTGAAGCAGTAATATATTAAAATAGCTTGTCTGATTACTTTGATAGACTACTTATCAACCTTATTACTTTGGAGTGTGGGGCTGTTAGATCCTATATTTCATCACAAATAACTGCTCAGATTAGTAGATTAGAAAGGTTTTAGGCTATTATTTGGGGAGAGAAATATGAGGTTGCATCTAGTTGAAGAAGTTTAGAAGTTTGTTAGTGTTAAAACATTTTGACTGGTGTAGTAGTAAGTAGCCCAGAAGTACTTGTAGCAGTAAAGTGTAATAGTGAATGGGTAGGTAAGTTTTTATGTAAGTTGTTGAGAAAGTTCAGTTGTTTGTAAAAGTTGAGATAAAATGTCGTTATAATAAATATAATTAGAGGGTGCTTATAAAGTCCTGTTTCACTGTATGTACAAATGGTTAACCTGTACAAGTGTGAGGTGTGAAATGGAAATGTGTATTTTGCATATCCCACTCCCACTGAGAGTGGGGTCACAGCCAGGGGATCAGCCATTATTGATGGCGACCATGGAGTAATTACGGAAATTTGCCTTGCTCAGGGATTCGACCCAGCAACCTTTCAGTTACTAGCCCAACACTCCTAACCGCCATGTTACCTGACGCCCCCATTTGATGTGGTTACTAAAACAGCTGCATCGTTTGGTTGGTATACTGTTCTGATTTCAGATTTGAAAAGCAGGGAAGTAGACCAAGATTTCATAAGTTGTTGGGAAAGTGGTCAAAGTAGCTGATTTGCGTCAAAAGTTACATTGTTTACAGTCAATAGAATGTTGGAAGTCATGGGAGTTTTCAATAATGGGAGCTTTAGAATGTTGAAGAAATCCCATTAAAGTGGATGAAGGACAAAAAGTATAAATGTTATCCAAAAAAAGTATACAAGCACACTGGTCCTGACCAGTCTACACATTTTAAAGTTTGAATTATGTTTCTACCTTAAAGGGGCAATCAGCAGCTGAAACAATATCAACCAAACCCCTGTTTCGGTAAAAGGCTGAGGGATGGGTCTGGAGAAATGTAACCACTCTCAAATTCATAGATATAGCTATGGATGCAAGGACTGACCATGATATCAAAATTGTAGTTTTAACCATGTTTTGAGGCTGTATAGTGTTTGTTTACATTTACTTTGTTTTAAAAGATTAGAGTAAAACAAGCTTATATTTTGGGTTTGATGGGTTTTGACAGTTGAACTAAGTTCATGAGGCTATAAGTTATATTCTTCAAGTATTAATGGATACATATCATTAATTTATAAATCCAAAAATGGATGTAGCAAATGCAGATTGCCCCTTTAAACAGTGTACAAAAAATTGAGTTCCAAATAATAATAAGTCCGAAATAAGTTGTACAATAGTTAAAGTGTGATTAACAAGTTCTATTAACAAACATCCCTTTGAAAACAGGCACACGTCTCAAATAATACAATTTCATAAATGCACGTGCCAAACCAGTAATAAATGGTCACTAAGCGACTAGTGGGGGCTTGCTGGGAATCAGAGTTTTACTTGCCCAACTCTCCAGTTTATTTTTATTTTTATAAAGCTGCAGAAGAATGTTGAAACTCAGAATCCCATAAAACACTGCTACCATGTACTCCTCCCATACTAAACTGCCTTTAGTTTAGATATGCACAATTTTAGATTACACGAATGTGTTAGCTAGCTATTTTTCATAAAAGGAAAAGCAATTTGCAAGACATTTTGAAATAGCCAGTGCCTCTTGTTCATGCGCTGTGGAGTGACAACGTTAGCTAGCTAGTTCGCCAGCTAACACAGGCAAGCTAGCTAGCTAGCTTTTTCCAATGGACAAGCCTGTGAAACTGCTTGCTAGTTAGCCAACAGAAGCTTCTTTCTAAAGGCATTACAAGGCACTTCATCTTCTTACAGTGATGGATGAAGTTGATAAGATTTTAATTCACTCGCTTAAACAGACCGGCACGTAAGTATCTAGCTAGCTAACGTTAGTTTCTAACATTATCAATAACCTGTTGTTGCTAGCTATCAATTTAGTTAGTTAGCTAACGTTTGCTAGCTTATGTGTCTACTGTAGTGAGTTTGTCTAGCTCTTGGCTTTCATCTGATAGCTACTGACACCCAGATCTACATTCAATCACTCATCAGAGCCAATAAGTTATCAGCTAATATTTTCCTTGTGAACATTTGCTGAAGTGAGCGCAAATCATGGCTACATTAATTAAAACGTGTAAAAATAGCTATTTTGTTCTAACAGCTGGTTGTTTGATTTTCACTCTGCCAATCTTAAAATATGTCAGCTAGTGTAATGAGCAGAATTTGTCCATATCTTTCTATCTAGCTTGTTAGTTACACCACAGAGCTTTGAATATAATTTGAAAGTGTGTAACCGGCTGATCACATGACTAGTGAGAAGTTAACCCCGTGCACCTGCACCTCATGCTCTGTCTGTTTGCACAGGGATGTGGGGAAGGATGTGCAGAGTGTGAAGCACTTCACCAGTGAGCTGATAGTGGAGGCGGTGGTGAGATGTCTGCAAGTGATCGACCCGGCCTTGGGGAGCGGCCTGTCCCCCTCCTTACCCCCCGGCATGTCTGCCCGCTTCCGAGTGGGCATGAGCCTGGCACAGGCCTGTCAGGTGAGAGAGGAAAAGAAAAAGGATAGTCATAGTGCTCCCCCTCCTGTTGTGAAGTGGGGCTCACTCCTTCTTTTGATCACATGAAGATTAAGATATTGTTGGCTGTAAATGGATAACCATGCATGACTTATTGATGTACCCATATGACCTATACCCCCTTTGCATGACACTCAGTCCAGGGTTTTTTGTATTCTAAAATGAATTTACTGTCATTATATCAACCTCTGTTTTTCTTGGTCCCAACTACATGCATGCAGTCTGGACCACTGATGTCTGAATAGAAGTCATTCAGCAACCAATTTGACCTCCTGCTACAATGTGATTTCATGTCATATAGACTAATGCCATTCTATCTCTTTGAGTATTGTTTTGAACAGTTTTTTATTTCCTCGCTTGATTGGCTGTATTGAATAGCCCAATTGCTTGCATAACTTCAGTTGAGTGATCTCCTGAGATGTAACAGTTTAATTACAAGATTTAGAATCTGCCAAGTGTGAATATATTTGGTGTGATCATTTTGTGAGGTAGGCTACATCGTTGCACATGTTCATGGATGGTCTTTATACAAAATCTCATAGACATTTCTGGTTCCATTTCTTACCCGGAATGACCCTCATGTTCTAAAGGGTAGGGGGGAGGCATTACGCTAAGGTCAATGACCTGTGTATGAGCGGACTCCATAACCAGGTTGACATGCGTTTATTTGCAGGACCTTGGCTACAAGGGAGAGATTGGCTACCAGACCTTTCTGTACAGCAATGAGCCAGAGATCCGCTCCCTGCTCATGTTCCTGGTGGAGAAGCTGCCCAGAGAAAGTGCCGAGGCCTCGGACCAACCAGCAGGTACAGACTCAATGTCCCACCATTGTACTGAGAACCATTCATCCCTTAGCTTTAGTTCTCCCCTTATACATTGGTCTATTTATTTGCTTTATGAGCTGAATTCCGATCAATAAAAAGACATTGAATGTTTCTGAACTTCTAAAAATGACAATTGTCTATAAGTATTTCTTTGTCTCATACATTGTACCCCCTAACAGGTAAATCGACCCTCCTCCAGAAATCCATAGCTGCCCAGATTAAAGCTCAGCTGGCTTTGCCCTGGCTCTCTCCATCCTGCAGACTACCCCTCCTCTGTAAAACACAGGTACATCCTGCTAGCTATGCCACAAAGCATTATCAATGACGTGGCCAGCTAAATTTAATATACACTGACAAATAACTTTGGTTTCCTAGATCATGAAGGAAGCTAGATTTCAAGGCTGTGTTTTAGTGAAAATAGTGAGGCAATAATGCAATCCCCCTTTCATGTTTATCCTGTTTTTCATGGCTTCATGATATTTACTCAAGTCAATATTCCCCAGAATGATGCACTATACAAACTTCCAATTTGAATCTATACACACTTCCTATTTGAAACTCTGTGTCTTTGTGTCAACAGTGTTCCCTCTTATTGTACAGTGAGCACCACATATGTATGAAAATACCCTCAAATTAAAGCTGACAGTCTGCACTTCACCCTCATTGTCATTGTATCCTTTCAAACTCAAAGTGCTAGAGTACAGAACCAAAATAACAAAAAAATGGTCACTGTCCAATGAATGATGGTGCTCATTGTATGTGTTCTCACTTCACGTTTCTTTTTAGAACCCAGGACCGTCCCACAGTTTCCACTCTCAGCCCCTTAGTTTACCGCACTGCCTCAAAGTGCCTGGGAAAAGGCAATTGAAAGGTAAGCCTCAGAATACAAGGACCCTTTTTAACTTACTGTCATTGCATATCATTCTGTAATCCAATTCTTCCAATTGTGTAGGATTCTGAATGAGTAGCCTATATACATAGGCAGGTGTTACATTAGGCTTGGTACGAGATCTTCTTTGCCACTGAAATGAGAGCATGTGGTGACAGTTCAACACCAGTATACCACGTCATTCTTTTCTCCCCCTCTCCAGAGGAAAATGACTACCACAGGGACTTCCTTCCCCCTGTAACTGCCCAGCTGTCGCAGCATGCCTCAGTGCCGGCCTCCCTGCTGGAGCAGCATGCAGGGGAACTCAGTGCTGCCCAGGAGTGGGAGAATGAGTGGAACAGCCAAGGCCTCCTCTCCCGCCTCACCCCCGAGGTACACTCTTAAAGGGATAGTTTAAGTTTTTGACTTGAATTTGAGCACAATAATAATATTTCTGTGTTCAATGCAGTGTTTTCATCTGTGAACTCCTTTCTCCTCGTGTCCACCCAGGAATATCGCTCCAGGAAGGTTGCACGTCTACAGAAGCGGATCGAAGAGCAGCTGCGCACTGCGGCCCAACCCCGCCCGGACACCCTCAGCGCCCACAGGTCGGGCTCTGACCTCACAGAGCTGCTGCAGTCCTTCGGGGGCTCTGCCCTCATTGGTGACATCCTTGCCAAGGGCACCCGCTTCACCCACACCGAGAAATTCACTTTCACAGAGGTGAATGATGGGTTAAACAAAGCCTACCCCAAAGACATTGAGCAACATCTACAAATGTTCCCCCTTTTGATTTCCAATCTGAATCCAGTCTTTGTTTCTCTCTAACTGGTCCATGCCTCTCTCTGTCTGTGTGTGTCAGGAGCCTGAGAAAGCTGCCAAGCAGATGGCAGCAGCGGCCAACTCCCTCCCCAGCTCGCATCAGTCGGAGGAGGACCTGCAGGCCCAACAGCAGGAGGAGCTGGCCTCTCTGCAGCAGCAGCTCCAGCAGCTCTCCCTCAGTCTTGAGGAGGTGGGCGGAGACATGAGGCAGCTCACTGTGTCCATACATCAGGTAATTGGAGCCTATCTTATTCAAAACAGACAAACTCTGTGTATTTGCGTAGACCTCGGACCAGAGTTACCACAGTGGAATGAACTACGACATGTAAGATGTAGTCACCCTGCGACATTTACTTATCTCTTGTCTGTGTGCAGGTGTCAGATGAGCTGAAGCAGAAAGAGCTGAGCAACATGGAGGAGGAGGACTCTGTGCGGGTAAAGAAGCAGACCATTAACCTGCTGCCGGACGGGGAGAACAACCTTGCTAAGCTGCGGGCCCTAGTAGAGGGAAGTGCCGAGCGAGTGGTCAACCTGGCCGCCCAGTGGGAGAAACACAGAACTCCGCTTATCGACGAGCACCGCAGGCTCAAGGAGCTCTGCAGCAACCGAGAGGTAGCGTTCGTTTCATTAGATATCACCCAGTGTGTGTGTGTGAGAGAAAGAAACTCTTATTTCAACTTCCATTATTTTCTCTAGATGGAGTCCTCTCGGAAGCTATCTGAAATCAAAGAGCTTCACGACAAAATCCGTCAATCTGCGGAGGAGGCCAAGAAGAAGGAAGGACTGTATAAACAACTGGTATTAGAACTAATTACATGTATTTGGGATGATTTACTTCCACACTGTGTATTCATTTGGTTCCTGTCCAAGCATTATGTCAAACACAATTTTTGGGGAATCTGACTTCTCCTTTAGATAACAGAGTTTGAGAATCTCCCCAAAGATATCTCCCGCTCAGCCTACACTGCGAGGATCCTGGAGATTGTTGGCAACATCAGGAAACAGAAGGAAGAAATTACAAAGGTATACCATCTGAGACACCTCGCATCAATACAGTCCTGAGTATCTCCTTAAAAACAGTCATTCAAACTGAATTTGAATCTGAGTAGAGTGATTTTAAGTATGGTATTTGTGTGTCCCCCCTCTTTGTCTCTGTAGATTCTGTCTGACACTAAGGAGCTGCAGAAAGAGATTAACAGCCTGACTGGAAAACTGGACCGAACGTTCGCTGTGACTGATGAGCTGGTCTTCAAGGTAGAGCACCTAGCAAGATAACTTTTTGCAATTAGAGGTCAAAGAAATCCCTGATAATTTTATTTCAATGGTTCTATACCACAGTTTTCTTCAGTTGCCTAATCAATACTTTTTCTCATACTGTGCAGGATGCGAAGAAAGACGACTCTGTCCGCAAATCCTACAAGTACCTGGCAGCCTTACATGAGGTAAGAGCTTGTTGGCAGAATATAACCTTCTCTTAGAAACTGAAGAGCAATGCATATATCCTTGGGTCTGGTGCACTGTGGTCATTTTAGGGCCCTATAACTATATTGGTTAGTTGTGTGACTTGATTCTCTTTCCTGGTATAGAACTGCACTCAGTTGATCCAAACTATTGAGGACACTGGCACAATCATGAGAGAGATCAGAGACCTGGAGGAACAGGTATATATGGACTCTTCTTTTATTCCAAACCACTAACTTGCACTGCTACTGTACAACATGAGTCAAAGTCATAGTTTGTCATTTTATTTGGCATAGTGATATAGGTCTGACTTGGTAGAGCAAACTTTTTAAGTTCCCTTCTCTCCATAGATTGAAACAGAGAATGGTAAAAAGACAGTAAGCAACCTGGAGAAGATCCTGGAGGACTACAAAGACATTCGCCAGGAGAACTCTGCTCTGGCTGCCAAGATCAGAGAGGCCTGACGTGACCCTCCTCAGCATGAATCACCGTAGTGGCCGCCTGACTTGTCTGCTGGTCAAACTGACCGGTAGATAGCATGCCCTCGAGACTGCCTGTCCTGTGTGTGGAACCAAGAAACCACACTCCATCTCGTCTCAAGACTTTCAACGCTGTCCTTCGTCCACTGTCACCTTGTTGCATTGCCTTCTGGGAGCACCGACAGCATATGGGGGAGGGGAGATTGAATTTTGTACTGAAATGACTTATAATTTTTTTTGGCACAAACCTTGGCTGACCAAAAACCATGCTGGATATAGAACAGATTTGTGATGCATAAAACAGTGATGAATTATACTTGCCTTGCATCCCTGGTGTCCATACACTGGTTGCATATTGATTCCACCCAATCAAAAAATAAGTTCTGTAACAATGATGCTCTCAGACTTTCTATTAGAAATGATCTCAATTGCAGTAGTTCTGATAGACCGAATCAAGTGAATGTCTTGTTGATCTGGTACAATTACAGAAGCACTGATTTACATCCCTATAAATTTGAGCACATCAATCATTACCTACATTCTTAGACCCAGTCATTGGAAATTAATGTAATGTGGATTTAGAACTCATGAGGTCATTTGTTTGAATGTCATCCAGTCCTAGACTAGTAAACCGAGTCAGTGTAAGTGATTCTGCTGAATCTGGTGAGGTTAGTGTCCTGTGAAAATGTCAGGTTTATGTACTCTCAAAGTGCACAATGTTTCAGAAGTAACATGCACCATCAAAGTCCCCCTGAGTAATGGTGGCTGTACAAATTACCAGCTTTAAGCTTTTTTATGTATAATACTTCAAGTAAACTTGATACTACTTTGAAATGCAATGTAGGTCCATGTGTTAAGGTGAATTTCTTCATTTTGCCCCTCCTGTTCCACAGACCAATGCAATGGTTAGGTATGGCCTAAGATACCGTTGATTTGTGCAGAAAGAAATCCATGCCATATTTTGTCTTACAAACTGGAATCGCTATAGAGATTACTAGGTTTGTCCTTTCTAGTTCATTCTCAGCCGTAATCAAATGCTGCTTTTGTCTCTCTTTTGCTGAGTATTATTTGGCTTAGGGTAAGTTGCCTCACCTTTTGGGCATTGATCTCCTGAAATGGTCTAGATTAGATAACAAATAAACTACATTGATCGAAATAATGATTCATGCAAAACTTGTATAAAAACAATACAAAATGTTAGTTGGCAGAAAATTAACATTTAAATGAAAGTCCTGTGCTATGTTGTGTTTTCTTTCACACGTTAAGGTTTAATTAATGTTGAAATGCTGAAAGGTCCTTTGTGTCACGTTTGTATTCTGGCCTTTTTTCCTGATCCTGTGGGAATGCCTGTTGTACTGGCTCTTTAGCCATGTTTATACCTGGTACTAACATGCACCCTTTGTCCTGATCTTGTCAACATTCTAATTGTGCCCACATTTTTTGATGGGTGTAGATGATTAAAAGACACATTGTGATCTCTGTGATCAGATCTCAGGAGGTAGTCAGGCACGCATTGGCTGCGTTCACACAGGCAGTCCAGTTCTGATATTTTGCCCAATTATTAGCAAAAGAGCTTATCTGATTGGTCAAAAGACCAATTAGGGAAAAAAAGTATGCTGCCTGTGTAAGCGCAGCCATTGTGTCTAGATATCAGTCAAGTGTTAACAGATCTGGATGGTCAAACTAAATCATCATTATACTGGCCTCTAAGATCATTGACACTGAGCACCATTGACTTATGGCATCAGCAATTGTCTTCAAATAAATACATTCATATTATTTTGAAAGAATATCTCAAATGTGCATGCAGGGAGACACCAGCTAATCTGGTCACAATGTGGACAGTGGATGGGTAGCTGCATCAAACCTGGATCAGATAAAAAAAAACACATGTTAACACAAGGTGTAAACAAGGCTTCTGAAACAGTTATTTTTGGGACATTTGCATCAGGTACAAATATCCATTATCAATCATTAGTATATCCACACATGTACCTCTCTTGGACCCATCATGCTGTGTTATTTTCAATAATATACTTTCAATATTGAATTGCATGTATTAATATATTTTAATATAAATTGATGTGTTCCAAACTGTAGTCATGCAGTTATAATTGACACATGACATTGCTGGACATGGTTGATCTCGTAATTTTCACTACAGTCGTGGTCAAAAGTTGAGAATGACACAAGTATTGGTCTTCACAAACTTTGCTGCTTCAGTCTTTTTAGATATTTTTGTCAGATGTTACTATGGTATACTGAAGTATAATTACAAGCATTCCATAAGTGTCAAAGGCTTTTATTGACAATTACATTAAGTTTATGCAAATAGTCAGTATTTGCAGTGTTGACCCTTCTTTTTCAAGACCTCTGCAATCTGCCCTGGCATGCTGTCAATTAACTTCTGGACCACATCCTGACTGATGGCAGCCCATTCTTGCATAATCAATGCTTGGCGTTTGTCAGAATTTGTTGGTTTTTGTTTGTCCACCTGCCTCTTGAGGAACGACCACAAGTTCTCAATGGGATTAAGCTCTGGGGAGTTTCCTGGCCATGGACCCAACATTTTGATGTTTTGTTCCCCGAGCCACTTAGTTATCACTTTTGCCTTATGGCAAGGTGCTCCATCATGCTGGAAAAGGCATTGGTCGTCACCAAACTGTTCTTGGATGGTTGGGAGAAGTTGCTCTCTGAGGATTTGTTGGTACCATTCTTTATTCATGGTTGTGTTCTTAGGCAAAATTGTGAGTGAGCCCACTCCCTTGGCTGAGAAGCTACCCCACACATGAATGGTCTCAGGATGCTTTACTGTTGGCATGACACAGGACTGATGGTAGCGCTCACCTTGTCTTCTCCGGACAAGCTTTTTTCCGGATGCCCCAAACAATCGGAAAGGGGATTCATCAGAGAAAATGCCTTTACCCCAGTCCTCAGCAGTCCAATCCCTGTACCTTTTGCAGAATATCAGTCTGTCCCTGATGTTTTTCCTGGAGAGAAGTGGCTTCCTCCAAAAGTATTCGCCTCACTGTGCGTGCAGATGCACTCACACCTGCCTGCTGCCATTCCTGAGCAAGCTCTGCACTGGTGGTGCCCCGCTCCCGCAGCTGAATCAACTTTAGATGACGGTCCTGGCGCTTGCTGGACTTTCTTGGGCGCCCTGAAGCCTTCTTCACAACAATTGAACCTCTCTCCTTGAAGTTCTTGATGATCCGATAAATGGTTGATTTAGGTGCAATCTTACTAGCAGCAATATCCTTGCCTGTGAAGCCCTTTTTGTGCAAAGCAATGATGATGGCACATGTTTCCTTGCAGGTAACCATGGTTAACAGAGGAAGAACAATGATTTCAAGCACCACCCTCCTTTTAAAGCTTCCAGTCTGTTATTCTAACTCAATAAGCATGACAGAGTGATCTCCAGCCTTGTCCTCGTCAACACTCTCGCCTGTGTTAACGACAGAATCACTGACATTATGTCAGCCTGTCCTTTTGTGGCAGGGCTGAAATCCAGTGGAAATGTTTTTTGGGGATTAAGTTCATTTTCATGGCAAAGAGGGACTTTGCAATTAATTGTAATTTATCTGATCACTCTTCATAACATTCTGGAGTATATGCAAATTGCCATCATAAAAACTGAGGGAGCAGACTTTGTGAAAATTAATATTTGTGTCATTCTCAAAACTTTTGACCACGACTGTTGATGGGTAACTTCTTACTGCGGGAAACCACTTGTTGAATCCCATTGCGGGCAAATTACATGTAACCCCGATTTTTCACCACAAACAATTTTATGAAATTTTGATTATTAGAATAAAACCTAGATTTAATCAAACTATGGTTCCCACGTTTTATAAATATTGAATCCATGAAAAAGAAATAAGACACAAGAAGCTGCAGGGGATGCTCCTGCCAGCTGGAGGCTTAGTTCAGTCACGTAGCAGGCGTAGGTTGAACTGCGCATGGAAACACGTTTTGGGAAGATTGCATTCTTTCCCACCATAGGCTGAACGTCAAATCAGTCGTCGTCTCACGGTGCGTGATTCGATGAGGAGGTTGATACAAGAGAGGAAGAGGCGGAGTGTCGAAGATACGATGTATCTTTCTTGTGCGTCAGAATCACTGGCTATTGAAGGCTATCCACTACATAGGGTGTGAATGAGAGAGCGTTCTAAAGATACTCTGATAAATGCCAGGTAGTAATGTCCTGTCAAAAAATAAGAACGTTTAGCCATGCGTTATGGCAGACAAGTAAGTCAACGTCGCTTTGCAAAGTTTCTGTGGCTTCTTGTGGTAGCGTGGCATCTAGAGGTCCGACCACCCAACTAGGAAAATGCTGCGAAAATGAACAAAGTTGTGGATCAAATTTAGGTATCCAGCCTGCTGGGTCCACAGCCATCCCAACTTCTCCATCACCCGCAAATCACAGACAAGTCGCGGGCAACAAACAGAAGGAGGTGTCGCCTACCTTGTCTGAAAGGGCATTCACAGGACCCAAGATTGACTCCAGGACTTACCTTTGGTCAAGATATAATGAAATGAAACGGCTTGTGCACGGTAAGATGTTTTTATGTCATGTTAAAGTTTGCCTAAAATATGTTAGTTTTTTTGCCAACTGAAACTGTATAATCACTAACCTATTTCCCTTTTTGTCAATACAGTTTTTCCATCCATACCAGATCGATTGTTGGTTGTCAGATGACAAATGTTAGACTGCTGCCATATCAACTTGTATTATTGCTACAATCTGGAAACCTTTCAACCTCGTTTGTCATTTTTAGTAATGAAGTTCCCCCCTTGATTAGAATAAGGTTGACTAATAAACTAATATACCTAGTCTTTTATAATAACACCCCCCTCCCATTCCAATTATTATGTCTGTAATAAACTTCGATTTGATGTTCCAACTGTGAGTGAAATGTTCATAACCTAATGAAATACATATCTTGCCATTTTTAACTAAAGGCCCCTACTGCCCAAAATTGTCAGGCCAGACTTCAGTTTACGCACACAATGCATTGAAGACGAATCATGAAGACTGCTCATGGTAGATTAGGTATTTTGTTTAAAGTCCCCCCTCCTTTTCTGCAGATCTGATTCCTCCAGGTGTATGTAACTTACTGAACCCCTCCACCATCTATGCCAACAATGAGGTTGACTTGGACGAAGTGGACATCTATGGCTTTGATTATGACTATACGCTCGCTCTGTACTCCAACACTCTTGATACAATGATCTACAATACAGCTCGAGAATTCCTTGTCAAACACTACAAGGTTTGTTTGATGGAAATGCGACGCTGTTTGCCTCAAATCCTCATACAAATGTTCATGATGCACATTGTTTGTTTGATTGAATTAGTTAAATTGTTACTTTTAACTCCCCTAACAGTATCCAGAGGGCATTTGCAAGTATGACTATATTCCCAACTTCGCTACACGTGGTCTCCACTATGACATTCAGAAGGTAAGTGCTTTCATTGGTGTATGAAAGCTTATAGTATAAACATTCAACAGGAAAAGTTAGAAAATAGCTGGAATATTTTTATTTTTTTTACTAGAGTGAAATGGTAGTTGAGGTAATACAATTGTTTTTCATGCAGGGACTGTTGATGAAAATAGATGCTTTCCATTACATCCAGCTGGGGACTGTATACAGGTGAGATAATTGCTGGGTGAATATATGTAAAACGAAAGTTTTTTTCTAACAACAATGCTATGTCATGGATTAAATACTGTAGTCAAGAGACCATAGTGAGAGAGATGTTAATTCCCACAGGGGTCTGAAGCCTGTTCCAGATGAGGAGGTTTTGGAGCTCTATGGTGGAACTCACCATGTCCCTCTTCAGGAAGTCAGTGGCTTCTATGGAAAGGTCCCTACTTCACCACATTCTTCGACAACACTCGCCTGTAACTTCCTGAACAGATGAGCTAGATAAAAAACAAGGATCGGAGATTGTGCATAAACATATTTGACCTATAAGCCTAAATGTTGAAAAGCAAGCAAATAGTGCATAATAAGCACATGCAAAAGCGATGCGCTTTAAAGTCAAATAGTTCACAATTGCAATTAATTCTAGTTGCAATGCCAGTAACTATAAGACACAAGCACAAAGACAGAAATAATGGGATGCAATGGGTAAGATAGCCCTTAGACATATAGGGATACCAACTACGAACATGGTAAGGGCACTAAAACAGAACATTTATACAGTTTTACCAAGTCCGTGACCTGCTCTACACCACATTCTTTATTTTAATCACAAAGAATCCTATGGAGACTTTAGGCCAGCTACTGTAGAAATATGCATGTTCCCACTCCTTTATTGCTCTGTTTTCTCAGTGCTTTGGGAGAAGTTGAGTTTATTTGCCCACTTGATTAAATAGCCTACTAACCAAATGGTTGGTATTCTCATAATGTACTACGGGAATAAAAATCTATAAACTGACTGGTGTGTATGAATATGTATAACTTGGTTTGGAATAAGATGGTATTTATGTCGGATTATCTGTAATAAGATCTGTTATAGACAAAATCATTTGTAATAATCAGATATGTTTCTTTTTATTTCTGATGCTCCGCTTCTATCCCGTTGGGCTAACGTTATCTTACAGGGTCCAATGATGAAGCAGTTCATGGATGTTTTCTCCATCCCAGAGATGACTCTCCTGGCAGCTGCCAATGACTACTTCAACTCCAATGACATTGAATATGACCCTGGTCATCTCTACAAAGACGTTTCGGTGAGTGCATTCAGCAACAAAACATACCCACATTCTGACGCACTTGAATCCAAAGATAATACTTTATTTTAATTCAGACATTCAAAGTGGGACCAATTTTAAAAATATGGGCAAATAGCTGGTTCTGAAAATAGAAGGCTTTAAACTAAAAAGGCTAACTTAGTGCATTGCTGCACCCTGACTCCTGAGTAGTTGCACCAAAGTCAATGTCAGTGAATTGTCCGTTTGTCTACCAGTGTGCATGGCAGTTGGGAATGTGGGTAAACTTTGTTTTTCATGCTGTGTCGGTCAGTCCAGTGTGCCAAAAGCTCATTAATTCATCCTCTCCCTCCCCTTCAAATGGAGCCACTTACTAATGCTTAGTGTGTCTAAATGGAAAAGGTTGGGCAGAGCTAAAGAAAGACAAATATATGTCGGTGTGCCTGCCAAGTTACCAATGTGTTGGGCTCTGTTCAAATGCTTTCAAGACATAGTGAAAAGTTCCCCATTTGTTCTTCTCATTCAGTTTAAATGGCAGCTGAACTCAAAAACCAACTTATCTGGTTGAAAATTGCATATGTTGCATTGATATTAGTCATAAACATTGACTCTAGTGTAAAAAAGTACAAAAAAAGTGTAAATAGCATTAATTTGGTCATAGTCAGTATTTTCCAAAACAGAGATTTAGGGAAGCTGTTACATTCCTAGATTCATTGGATATTTTGAGGGTTGTATTTTGATGTCGATCATGTCGACTAACACGGGATGGTAAAACCTAGGGAGAATTGTCATGCATGGAGAAAAAGCTGCTCTGATTGCGCTCTATTCAACTGTGTGGCAGAACCAACAGGCAGTAAGACAGACCTGCCCACATTACTCAGTGCCTCAGACTTGTTTACATATCGTCGCTGTCTGATAACATTTTAGCCTTTATTTTTACATTTATTCAAAGCATTTACTCCTCAATGTATGCTGAACATTTCATGACTCTAGGAAGAAGAACATTTATTCAAAATAGCTTCTGAAGTTTCATGTATTTTCGTTAATGGGAAAATATGGTAATTTTTCAAATTTCCTGAAAAGTTTCTGTTTTGGAGGTGACGTTTTCATCAGACAGCGACGATAAGACAATACTTGGCCCATAAGCCCTTTATCGAGTGGCCTCTTGCTGATGTGTTTGATAGTGATCACTCGAGTCTTCCACAGTTTTGGGCAAAATGAGAATTGAGACGATGCGCACTTGCATCCCAACTGTCACTTGTCAACATTCCAAAAATCAAAAGCCATTTGTGCTCATCATGGGGCCATACTTGCGAACATTATAAAAAGTTTAAGTTGAACTCTCAAAATTCGCATCAGCCAATTAAAATCATAGACACAATTGCACTTACCTATGAAAGCGTCCTTAACAGAAGTCTAATGGTACGTTCTGATAATCAAAGCAACTAGATCATGTGTGTTTGACTGACTGGTCAAATAGCTTTCTGTGTAGAGTGCTTAGCTCCACGTAATGGTCGCAGATTGTGGCAAGGGTTCGAATTTTACATGAGTTGTTTTCCCCTTTGAAATGTAGAATTAAATGTATTGTGTTAGTGTGTTGAGAAATGCAGCCAAAACCTTGTGAATGATGATTATGAATATATTTAAGGCAGCAGCTACTCTTCCTGGGGTCTGGCAAAATTAAGGCAGTTATACAATTTTAAAAACATTACAATACATTCATAACAGATTTCAAAACACACTGTGTGCCCTCAGGCCCCTACTCTACTACCACATATCTACAACACAAAATCCATGTGTATGCATGTGTCTGTGCCTATGTTTGTGTTGCTTCACAGTCCCCGCTGCTCCATAAGGTGTATTTGTATGTTTTGCATCAGTTACCTGATGTGGAATAGAGTTCCATGTAGTCATGGTTCTATGTAGTACTGTGCGCCTCCCATAGTCTGTTCTGGACTCGGGGAAAGTGAAGAGACCTCTGGCATGTCTTGTGGGGTATGCATGGGTGTCTGAGCTGTGTGCTAGTTGTTTAAACAGACAGCTCGGTGCTTTCAACATGTCAATACCTCTCACAAATACAAGTAGTGATGAAGTCAATCTCTCCTCAACTTGAGCCAGGAGAGATTGACATGCATATTATTAATGTTTGCTCTCTGTGTACATCCAAGGGCCAGCCGTGCTGCCCTGTTCTGAGCCAATTGCAATTTTCCTAAGTCCCTCTTTGTGGCACCTGACCACACGACTTAACAGTAGTCCAGGTGCAACAAAACTAGAGCCTGCAGGACCTGCCTTGTTGATAGTGCTGTTAAGAAGGTAGAGTAGCACTTTATTATGGACAGACTTCTCCCCATCTTAGCTACTGTTGTATCAATATGTTTTGACCATGACAGTTTACAATCCAGGGTTACTCCAAGCAGTTTTGTCACCTCAACTTGCTCAATTTCCACATTATTTATTACAAGATTTAGTTGAGGTTTAGTGAATGATTTGTCCCAAATACAATGCTTTTAGTTTTTGAAATATTTAGGAATAACTTATTTACCCAAAGCCAGTGGCATGTTGTTAGTAAAGATTTAAAAAAGTAAGGGGCCTAGACAGCTGCCCTGGGGAATTCCTGATTCTGCCTGGATTATGTTGGAGAGGCTTCCATTAAAGAACACCCTCTGTGTTCTGTTAGACAGGTAACTCTTTATCCACAATATAGCAGGGGATGTAAAGCCATAACAAATTTTTCCAGCAGCAGACTATGATCGATAATGTAAAAAGCCGCACTGAAGTCTACCAAAACAGCCCCCACAATATTTGTATCATCAATTTCTGCATCAGCCTATCAAAGATCTTAGACTTTATATCCACCAACCAATGGCATTTCTTAAAATAGGTCAACTTGGCCACCAAATTGCATAGACGTGTAGGCTACACTTTACATGTACAATGTTTTATATGCATTTTTATAATCATCCACTTTGTCACATCAGTTATTTGAATCGAGCATCGAGGACCAGCAGTGAACAGTATTTTCCTTAACAAAAATGCTTGACGCGAGGGGGGCTCGAACCCACGGTTAATGTGCGCTGTGGTTTTAGTCAACCACTTTGACTCTAAAACCACAGTGAAACAGACTAGCAGAAATGTGGGATTTTGTCATATATACGAAAATGTGCCTTTTGAATTTTGTCTAATCAACGATGCATCATGCAATATTGGCACTCTACACTTGAGAAGGACCAAGCGGAGCAAAAGTAAACCTTGAATTTTGAGGTTTAAAATAGCCCTCCGGTGGCCAAGTTGACCTATTTTAAGAAATGCCATTGGTTGATGGATATAAAGTTTAAGATCTTTGATAGGCTGATGCAGAATTTGTTACAAGAAAATAATCACTGCCACCTGCTCAGGTTAGCATAGGGCTAAATGTGCCAGGTTATGTACAGTGGCTTGCGAAAGTATTCACCCCCCTTGGCATTTTTCCTATTTTGTTGCCTTGCAACCTGTAATTAAAATGGATTTTTTTGGGGGTTTGTATCATTTGATTTACACAACATGCCTACCCCTTTGAAGATGCAAAATATTTTTTTTTGTGTAACAAACAAGAAATAAGACAAAAAAGCAGAACTTGAGCGTGCATAACTATTCAACCCCCCATAGTCAATACTTTGTAGAGCCACCTTTTGCAGCAATTACAGCTGCAAGTCTCTTAGGGTATGTCTCTATAAGCTTGGCACATCTAGCCACTGGGATTTTTGCCCATTCTTCAAGGCAAAACTGCTCCAGCTCCTTCAAGTTGGATGGGTTCCGCTGGTGTACAGCAATCTTTAAGTCATACCACAGATTCTCAATTGGATTGAGGTCTGGGCTTTGACTAGGCCATCCCAAGACATTTAAATGTTTCGCCTTAAATCACTCGAGTGTTGCTTTAGCAGTATGCTTAGGGTCATTGTCCTGCTGGAAGGTGAACCTCCGTCCCAGTCTCAAATCTCTGGAAGACTGAAACAGGTTTCCCTCAAGAATTTCCCTGTATTTAGCGCCATCCATCATTCCTTCAATTCTGGCCAGTTTCCCAGTCCCTGCCGATGGAAATACATCCCCACAGCATGATGCTGCCACCACTATGCTTCACTGTGGGGACGGTGTTCTCGGGGTGATGACAGGTGTTAGATTTGCGCCAGACATAGAGTTTTCCTTGATGGCCAAAAAGCTCAATTTCAGTCTCATCTGACCAGAGTACCTTCTTCCATATGTTTGGGGAGTCTCCCACATGGCTTTTGGCGAACACCAAACGTGTTTGCTTATTTTTTTCTTTAAGCAATGGCTTTTTTCTGGCCACTCTTCCATAAAGCCCAGCTCTGTGGAGTGTACGGCTTAAAGTGTTCCTATGGACAGATACTCCAATCTCCGCTGTGGAGCTTTGCAGCTCCTTCAGGGTTATCTTTGGTCTCTTTGTTGCCTCTCTGATTAATGCCCTCCTTGCCTGGTCTGTGAGTTTTGGTGGGTGGCCCTCTCTGGACAGGTTTGTTGTGGTGCCATATTCTTTCCATTTTTAAAAATGGATTTAATGGTGCTCCGTGGGATGTTCAAAGTTTCAGATATTTTTTTAGAACCCAAACCTGATCTGTACTTCTCCGCAACTTTGTCCCTGACCTTTTTGGAGAGCTCTTTGGTCTTCATGGTGCCGCTTGCTTGGTGGTGCCCCTTGCTTAGTGGTGTTGTAGACTCTGGGGCCTTTCAGAAGTGTGTGTGTGTGTGTGTGTGTGTGTGTGTGTGTGTGTGTGTGTGTGTGTGTGTGGTATGGGGAAAAAGTATTTTATCCCCTGATGATTTTGTACGTTTGCCCACTGACAAAGAAATGATCAGTCTATAATTTTAATGGTAGGTTTATTTGAACAGTGAGAGACAGAATAACAACAAAAAAATCCAGAAAAACGCATGTCAAAAATGTTATAAATTGATTTGCATTTTAATGAGGGAAATAAGTATTTGACCCCCTCTCAATCAGAAAGATTTCTGGCTCCCAGGTGTCTTTTATACAGGTAACGAGCTGAGATTAGGAGCATACTCTTAAAGGGAGTGCTCCTAATCTCAGTTTGTTACCTGTATAAAAGACCCTGTCCACAGAAGCAATCAATCAATCAGATTCCAAACTCTCCACCATGGCCAAGACCAAATAGCTCTCCAAGGATGTCAGGGACAAGATTGTAGACCTACACAAGGCTGGAATGGGCTACAAGACCATCGCCAAGCAGCTTGGTGAGAAGGTGACAACAGTTGGTGCGATTATTCGCAAGTGGAAGAAACACAAAATAATTGCCAATCTCCCTCGGCCTGGGGCTCCATGCAAGATCTCATCTCGTGGAGTTGCAATAATCATGAGAACGGTGAGGAATCAGCCCAGAACTACACGGGAGGATCTTGTCAATGATCTCAAGGCAGCTGGGACCATAGTCACCAAGAAAACTATTGGTAACACACTACGCCATGAAGGACTGAAATCCTGCAGCGCCCGCAAGGTCCCCTTGCTCAAGAAAGCACATATACAGGCCCATCTGAAGTTTGCCAATGAACATCTGAATGATTCAGAGGAGAACTGGGTGAAAGTGTTGTGGTCAGATGAGACCAAAATCGAGCTCTTTGGCATCAACTCAACTCGCCGTGTTTGGAGGAGGAGGAATGCTGCCTATGACCCCAAGAACACCATCCCCACCGTCAAACATGGAGGTGGAAACATTATGCTTTGGGGTTGTTTTTCTGCTAAGGGGACAGGACAACTTCACCACATCAAAGGGACAATGGACGGGGACATGTACCGTCAAATCTTGGGTGAGAACCTCCTTCCCTCAGCCAGGGCATTGAAAATGGGTCGTGGATGGGTATTCCAGCATGACAATGACCCAAAACACATGGCCAAGGCAACAAAGGAGTGGCTCATGAAGAAGCACATTAAGGTCCTGGAGTGGCCTAGCCAGTCTCCAGACCTTAATCCCATAGAAAATCTGTGGAGGGAGCTGAAGGTTCGAGTTGCCAAACATCAGCCTCGAAACCTTAATGACTTGGAGAAGATCTGCAAAGAGGAGTGGGACAAAATCCCTCCTGAGATGTGTGCATACCTGGTGGCCAACTACAAGAAACGTCTGACCTCTGTGATTGCCAACAAGGGTTTTGCTACCAAGTACTAAGTCATGTTTTGCAGAGGGGTCAAATACTTATTTCCCTAATTAAAATGCAAATCAATTTATAACATTTTTGACATGCGTTTTTCTGGATTTTTTTGTTGTTATTCTGTCTCTCACTGTTCAAATAAACCTACCATTAAAATTATAGACTGATCATGTCTTTGTCAGTGGGCAAACGTACAAAATCAGCAGGGGATCAAATACTTTTTTCCCTCATTAGTAACACACTAGTTAGTAACACACTAGTTAGTAACACACTACGCTGTCATGGATTGAAATCCTGCAGCGCACGCAAGGTCCCCCTGCTCAAGCCAGCGCAAGTCCAGGCCCGTCTGAAGTTTGCCAATGACCATCTGGATGATCCAGAGGAGGAATGGGAGAAGGTCATGTGGTCTGATGAGCCAAAAATAGAGCTTTTTGGTCTAAACTCCACTCGCCGTGTTTGGAGGAAGAAGAAGGATGAGTACAACCCCAAGAACACCATCCCAACCGTGAAGCATGGAGGTGGAAACATCATTCTTTGGGGATGCTTTTCTGCAAAGGGGACAGGACGACTGCACCGTATTGAGGGGAGGATGGATGGGGCCATGTATCGCGAGATCTTGGCCAACAACCTCCTTCCCTCAATAAGAGCATTGAAGATGGGTCGTGGCTGGGTCTTCCAGCATGACAACGACCCGAAACACACAGCCAGGGCAACTAAGGAGTGGCTCCGTAAAAAGCATCTCAAGGTCCTGGAGTGGCCTAGCCAGTCTCCAGACCTGAACCCAATAGAAAATATTTGGAGGGAGCTGAAAGTCTGTATTGCCCAGCGACAGCCCCGAAACCTGAAGGATCTGGAGAAGGTCTGTATGGAGGAGTGGGCCAAAATCCCTGCTGCAGTGTGTGCAAACCTGGTCAAGACCTACAGGAAACGTATGATCTCTGTAATTGCAAACAAAGGTTTCTGTACCAAATATTAAGTTCTGCTTTTCTGATGTATCAAATACCTATGTCATGCAATAAAATGCAAATTAATTACTTAAAAATCATACCATGTGATTTTCTGGATTTTTCTTTTAGATTCTGTCTCTCACAGTTGAAGTGTACCTATGATAAAAATTACAGACCTCTACATGCTTTGTAAGTAGGAAAACCTGCAAAATCGGCAGTGTATCAAATACTTGTTCTCCCCACTGTGTATATATATATATATATATATGCTAAGATCATGTGACACTTAGATTGCACACAGGTGGACTTTATTTAACTAATTATGTGACTTCTGAAGGTAATTGGTTGCACCAGATCTTATTTAGGGGCTTCATAGCAAAGGGGGTGAATACATATACATATTTTTTAGAATTTTTTTGAAACAAGTTATTTTTTTCATTTCACTTCACTAATTTGGACTATTTAGTGTATGTCCATTACATGAAATCCAAATAAAAATCAATTTAAATTACAGGTTGTAATGCAACAAAATAGGGAAAAAGCCAAGGGGGATGAATACTTTTGCAAGGGACTGTAATGGGAACAGCATTTAATCACGTGCAACGACGTCAACGATTTTAATTGACTGATGCACTTTTCTAATGTTCGCAAGTATGGCCCCCATGTGTCCCACTGCGACCTGTTTTGTAACATGATTTGCTATGAAACACTGCCAGACAGACTCTCACTCCGGTAATAGATCGTGAGAAAGTTCAAAACAAAACAGCACCGAAGCTCTTTGCCACTCACCAGTGACTTGATAAGCTGATTTAGCTAACGTGGCCTGCTGCTCATTGTGCCTGCTAGCTACTAGCTAGCTTCATTGACAAACACAGATGGAACTTAGCTAGCTAGTGGTTTTGGGCACTGATAAACAGCATGTAGCTTGTGCTTTATTTACGATAGTTTTACAGCTTGCCGATGAAGTTGTAGACATGAAATCTCAGAAATCAGTCCTGAGCACAGCAGCAGTTGACTCGATACTGTCTACTTCCCAGTTATGGGGATGCTAGATCTTTATAGCACACTCCGGAAACATTCAATGGATCTCTACCAAGAGAGGAGAACCATGTTGGAAAAAAATGTGGCTGGTTAAATGTCCTTTTTAGATGGGAGTAGTAAGCCCTCAAAAGTGTTCAGAAGTCAAGTCAGAAATGTCTTTAGACCTTGAGCAAGACAACTGTAGACAAACATTCTCAGTGAATGTTGAGTTTATCCACACTCTTTTATTTTCCTCAGGATGCCATTGGAATGGTGCATATCAAAGGCTACATGTACAAGTGGATAATGCAAGACTTGGGTGAGATATACAATTGTGGGTTCTTTTCATCTTCGCTTCTAGATATTCAATCCCAAATATGTTTGTATGGGATGCTCCCCATCTCACCCACGCCCAGTTTGCAGGTTTTTAAAAACTGAACATTGTGAATATCCCCTATATAAAAAGCAGTGTTGTCTTGATTCACTGTTCATATTCTCTATTTGAAAACCTAAACGGTAGAGCAATTTAACTGCCCTGCAGATAATAGTTTTGGGGTTATGATAAGATAATAAAGCAGTACACATTTTCATCAAGTATTTTAAATCACTTTCTTCCAAAACCATGGCCAAGGGGAAGTCAAGATAATTGATAAAATGTTGCTAACATACTTTAAAGTGCAAAAATATTAACATACTTTTAAGTGTATATAAAAATGACAGTACACTTGACAATTTATAATCTTAATTAAGTTTTGTTTAAAGATGTGTTTACAGAGTTAAGGTTTATCAGGAAAATTTCAGGACATTATAATATGTCTCTTTATACTCTGCTGTCTCACAATTACTTTAAATGCCTTAAATGATACATGCCTGTTTCCCAATGGACAAAGCTGCCAGTTTCCTCCAAGGGACAACATGTTCTGACGGAAGTGGAATATTTACATACTTGCGAAATACTCAGGGGAAGGGGATATTCCAGTCTGAATTGACCCTCTGTTCTCATTTTCCTCCCACAGAGAAATATATTCTCAGAGGACATGAGACATACGCAGTTCTGCACCGTCTGGCCAGCCATGGCAAGAAGCTCTTCCTTATAACCAACAGCCCATTTAGCTTTGTGTGAGTGTCACCATCAACCAAATCAAACTGACAGTTAAATAAATCAGAGATACACATACAGGTTACTGATTTGGTTTCTGGCATAGGCGGCGGCGTGAGTTTCAAGTTGTTTGGGGAAGCTAATGTTCACCATAAAAATGCACCTTTATAATAAAGCATTTAATGGATCATCGCATTTGCAGACTTATGTAAGATAGCCTACTATTTGTAATGTGACGAGTAGATTGGATAGTCATAATTTAGGCTAATAATATAACTCGATCTCTGTTTGCAAAAAATACTGTTCAATGCATGGCTGAGCGCGTTGTGGCGTAGAGCAGACCTAGGCTGTAGTCTATAGCAGATACATATCTTATCCTTTCTTTGCACGGGAAGAATTTGGCCTTTTTATGAACACATTTCATGCAATTCTACTACACTTTATATGACTGGAGACATTAGCAGAATATGTTTAAATACAACAAATTACAGGGTAGCCTACTCTGCTGACACTGACAAGCAGATCAATAAAAACAACGTTGCCTGATCCATATAATAGGCCTATGAGAAGGGGAGACACAAATACAATATGATGTCCATCTAACCTGGAGGAGGAAATTGTCCAAAAACAAACTTTCATGTGGCACTGATCCAACAATGGTAAAGAGTGAATATGCACACTCACCGGGGATATGCTCTCCGCTGGTGCCAATAAAATAGGCTATACTGGTTGCTCAATTAAGTTGAGAATTTTGATAACTAAAAGATAGATTTAGAGGATTTTTGTCTTCTCTTTACAGCAATATAGCCAATATAGCCAATCGTTTTCTCACGATTGTATTTTGAAATACTGCGATGTGCCTGGCTGGGGCTCTCTACCTTTCACTGACAGTTGCAACTTGACAGTCATCTATTAAAAAATTAAATAATCATCTAATGATTCTCTGTGGCCAAATCATGCTTTCTGGTATAGTAGCCTATTTTGAATGATTGTATTTATTTGTATACACAGGAGTAGCTTAATTAGGTTATATAATTTTGGCAATTTAATTCAATTGACTTTAGGGGAAGCTTTGCTTTTATTTGTAAAAAAAACGGGCCTTATGGACACGCCGTCTGTGGGCACTTTCAGCTCTTAACAGTAGCTGTACATTTCGTGGTTGTTGACTAACCAGCTGTTTTCCTAATTATTTAGAGACAAAGGGATGAAATACATGGTAGGAAAGGACTGGAGGGACTTCTTTGACCTTGTCATTGTTCAAGCTGATAAACCACACTTCTTCAATAACTGTGGCAAGTAAGTCTGATATTCGGCATATCTTTATACTCCCAACCAAGAAGTGTCGAAATTCTACATTCTTGTTCTTCACACAAATGTACAGAAAACAAGAGCACTCTACATACTGTTCAGGTCATTGTGTGACCTGATCAAATTTGCTATTTGCAGACCTTTCAGACGTTTGGATGGCAACGGGGACCTTCAGTGGGACAAGATCAAGAGCTTGGATAAGGGCCAGATCTACAAACAGGTAGGAGCGGAGACATTACCCAGAAGTATTACTGTATACAGTGCATTCAGAAAGTATTCAGACCCCTTGACTTTTTCCACATTTTGTTACGTTACAGCCTTATTCTAAAATGAATTAAATCGATTTTTTTCCACATCAGTATACACACAATACCCCATAATAACACATTTATAAAGAATCCCCCCCCCCAGAAATATGACATTTACATAAGTATTCAGACCCTTTACTCAGTACTTTGTTGAAGCACCTTTGGCAGAGATTACAGCATAGAGTCTTATTGGGAATGACGCTACAAGCTTGGCACACCTGTATTTGGAGAGTTTCTCCCATTCTTCTCTGCAGATCCTCTCAAGCTCGGTCAGGTTGGATGGGGAGCGTCGCTGCACAGCTATTTCCAGGTCCCTCCTGAGATGTTAGATCGGGTTCAAGTCCGGGCTCTGGCTGGGCCACTCAGGGACATTCAGAGATTTGTCCCGAAGCCACTCCTGCGTTGTCTTGGCTGTGTGCTTAGGGTCGTTGTCCTGTTGGAAGGTGAACCTTCGCCCAAGTCTGAGGTCCTAAGTGCTCTGGAACAGGTTTTCATCAAGGATCTCTCTGTACTTTGCTCCGTTCATCTTTCCCTCGATCCTGACTAGTCTCCCTGCCGCTGAAAAACATCCCCACAGCATGACGCTGCCACCATGCTTCACCGTAGGGATGGTGCCAGGTTTCCTCCAGACGTGACGCTTGGCATTCAGGCCAAAGAGTTCAATCTTGGTTTCATCAGACCAGAGAATCTTGTTTCTCATGGTCTGAGTGTCTTTAGGTGCCTTTTGGCAAACTCCAAGTGGGCTGTCATGTGCTTTTTACTGAGGAGTGGCTTCCATCTGGCCATAAAGGCCTTATTGGTGGAGTGCTGCAGAGATGGTTGTCCTTCTGGAAGGTTCTCCCATCTCCACAGAGGAACTCTGGAGCTCTGTCGGAGTGACCATCGGGTTCTTGGTCACCTCCCTGACTAAGGCCCTTCTCCCCCGATTGCTCAGTTTGGCCGGGCGGCCAGCTCTAGGAAGAGTCTTGGTGGTTCCAAACTTCTTCCATTTAAGAATGATGGAGGCCACTGTAGAAAGTTTTTGGTACCCTTCCCCAGATCTGTGCCTCGACACAATCCTGTTTCGGCGCTTTACCGACAATTCCTTCGATCTCATGGCTTGGTTTTTGCTCTGACGTGCACTGTCAAATGTGGGACCTTATATAGACAGGTGTGTGCCTTTCCAAATCATGTCCAATCAATTAAATTTACCACAGGTGGACTCCAATCAAGTTGTAGAAACATGTCAAGGATGATCAATGGAAACAGGATGCACCTGAGCTCAATTTCGAGTCTCATAGCAAAGAGTCTGAAATCTTATGTAAATAAGGTATTTCTGTGTTTTATTTTATATACATTTGCAAACATTTCTAAAAACCAGTTTTCGTTTTGCCATTATGGGGTATTGTGTGTGTGTAGATTGATGAGGGGGAAAAAAACTATTTAATCAATTTTAGAATAAGGCTGTAACATAACAAAATGTGGAAAAAGTAATGGAGTCTGAATATTTTCCGAATGCACTGTGTATATATAACTAAAATGATACGTTAGCGTGTGGGCCAAAGTTCTTTGCCAGTTTGTAAATGATGAACCTGTCTATTAAATTGCAAAGTGACTAACTCAGTTGCAGGACTTACCAGCATTGACTGCTTGCGTTCCAGATTGCGGTAATTTGTGAGATTCACAATGTCAGTCGCATTTGTTCCTTTTACTGTGGGAAGTGAATGACACATGATTGGACTATCATTACATTTTTACATTTTAGTCATTTAGCTGATGCTCTTATCCATCGCAACTTACAGTAGTGAGTGCATACATTTACATACTTTTGCGTACTGGTCCCCCATGGGAATCGAACCCACAACCTTGGTGTTGTAAGCCTATTGAACTAAAGTTCCACACGTCACAAGTTACTATTTAGTCAACCTGAATCAAATGTCCCTAGTCTGAGTTAGGCTGGTCTTACAATGATGGCCTTTGAATCCTACGCAAAGATGTTAGTCTTGTCCTTGAAGTTAGTTCCCTGTTGTAGCTGAAAATAGATCAGGTTTGGTGAAAAGTGGTTTATATTTTGATGCTGTGACAAGTATTGCCTTTAGGGTTGCAAATGGAGGGTATATTACTGGAAAATTACGAAGTTTACCTGTAAACTACCAGAATTTTGGTGATTTAAGATGTTATTTTATCAGATTATATCTAGTGTGGCCTTTGTGGGTACTTCCTATTATCTCTGGCCCTCTGTGTGGCCTTGTCACATGTAAATATAAAATAATCAAATAAGATGATTCTAAACTAAAAATTTGAATGACAAAGCTGTAAAACATTATCCTAAATATAAACCATCAACTTAGTGAATACCACTGGTGTTTTAATATGAGGGTTTCAGCATGAAATATCCTTTTATATTTTTTTTTACACACATTTATTTTACTATGTCTTTGTTGTAAATGTTTTTGCACCAAACTGGTGGCAGTTGGGGAAAAAAAGTCAATAGTTGAAAGAGTTGCAGAGTTCATTGAAAATAATGCCATTGCTGATTAGATGTTTTTTTCCCCCATGAATTAAGCTTTTTTTCTGTTGAACCATATAGTCTATTCGCTAGAAACGCATGGACAATATGGACACAAATATAAAAAATGTATACTATATATTAATACATTTTTATTCAAGTATAAATTATTAAAGTTACCATAGATTGACATAGATTACCTGTTAATTCTGTTAACTTTGGTAAATTACTGGTAGCTTTGCAACCCTAATTGCCACAGTAGGACATGCTAACCATGCAGTACTTTTCCTCTCACCCTAAGAGCACTGCCAACATCATTGGCAGATGGACCCATAGTCAAGGCCAATAGTTGTCTGCTGCTAAGGCCTCAGCAGAATTTGGTGGAAGACCACGTCCTTGACCACATATGTATATGAATTGTAATTAGTCATGTTATAGTTCTGCCAATCCACAGTCCTTTTTTTGCCTTATTTCCTCAGTTTTTACTTCAAGCATTAAAACTTAAAGGCCCAGTGCAGTCGAAAATGTGTGTTTCATATACACTGAGTGTACAAAACATAAAGGACACCTTCCTAATATTGAGTTCCACCCCCATCCACCCTTTTGCCCTCAGAACAGCCTCAATTCGTTGGGGCATGGACTCTACAAGGTGTCGAAAGCGTTCCACAGGGATGCTGGCACATGTTGACTCTAATGCTTCCCACAGTTGTGTCAAGTTGGCTGGATGTCCTTTGGGTGGTGGACCATTCTTGATACACACAGGTAACTGTTAAGCATGAATAACACAGCACAAACCAGTGCGCCTGGCACCATCTACCATACCCCGTTCAAAGGCACTTAAATATTTTGTCTTACCCATTCACCCTCTGAATGGCACACATACACAATCCATGTCTCTATGGTCTCAAGGCTAAAAAATCCTTCTTTAACCTGTCTCCTCCCCTTCATCTACACTGATAAAGTTGATTTAACAAGTGACATCAATAAGGGATCATAGCTTTCAGCTGGATTCACCTGGTCAGTCTGTCATCGATAGAGCAGGTGTCCTTTAATGTTTTGCACACTCAGTGTACAGTGGGGAAAAAAAGTATTTAGTCAGCCACCAATTGTGCAAGTTCTCCCACTTAAAAAGATGAGAGAGGCCTGTAATTTTCATCATAGGTACACGTCAACTATGACAGACAAAATGAGAATTTATTTTCCAGAAAATCACATTGTAGGATTTCTTATGAATTTATTTACAAATTATGGTGGAAAATAAGTATTTGGTCAATAACAAAAGTTTCTCAATACTTTGTTATATACCCTTTGTTGGCAATGACACAGGTCAAACGTTTTCTGTAAGTCTTCACAAGGTTTTCACACACTGTTGCTGGTATTTTGGCCCATTCCTCCATGCAGATCTCCTCTAGAGCAGTGATGTTTTGGGGCTGTCGCTGGGCAACACGGACTTTCAACTCCCTCCAAAGATTTTCTATGGGGTTGAGATCTGGAGACTGGCTAGGCCACTCCAGGACCTTGAAATGCTTCTTACGAAGCCACTCCTTCGTTGCCCGGGCGGTGTGTTTGGGATCATTGTCATGCTGAAAGACCCAGTCACGTTTCATCTTCAATGCCCTTGCTGATGGAAGGAGGTTTTCACTCAAAATTTCACGATACATGGCCCCATTCATTCTTTCCTTTACACGGATCAGTCGTCCTGGTCCCTTTGCAGAAAAACAGCCCCAAAGCATGATGTTTCCACCCCCATGCTTCACAGTAGGTATGGTGTTATTTGGATGCAACTCAGCATTCTTTGTCCTCCAAACACGACAAGTTGAGTTTTTACCAAAAAGTTCTATTTTGGTTTCATCTGACCATATGACATTCTCCCAATCCTCTTCTGGATCATCCAAATGCACTCTAGCAAACTTCAGACGGGCCTGGACATGTACTGGCTTAAGCAGGGGGACACGTCTGGCACTGCAGGATTTGAGTCCCTGGCGGCGTAGTGTGTTACTGATGGTAGGCTTTGTTACTTTGGTCCCAGCTCTCTGCAGGTCATTCACTAGGTCCCCCCGTGTGGTTCTGGGATTTTTGCTCACCGCTCTTGTGATCATTTTGACCCCACGGGGTGAGATCTTGCGTGGAGCCCCAGATCGAGGGAGATTATCAGTGGTCTTGTATGTCTTCCATTTCCTAATAATTGCTCCCACAGTTGATTTCTTCAAACCAAGCTGCTTACCTATTGCAGATTCAGTCTTCCCAGCCTGGTGGAGGTCTACAATTTTGTTTCTGGTGTCCTTTGACAGCTCTTTGGTCTTGGCCATAGTGGAGTTTGGAGTGTGACTGTTTGAGGTTGTGGACAGGTGTCTTTTATACTGATAACAAGTTCAAACAGGTGCCATTAATACAGGTAATGAGTGGAGGACAGAGGAGCCTCTTAAAGAAGAAGTTACAGGTCTGTGAGAGCCAGAAATCTTGCTTGTTTGTAGGGGACCAAATACTTATTTTCCACCATAATTTGCAAATAAATTCATTAAAAATCCTACAATGTGATTTTCTGGAGAGAAAAAAATCTCAATTTGTCTGTCATAGTTGACGTGTACCTATGATGAAAATTACAGGCCTCTCTCATCTTTTTAAGTGGGAGAACTTGCACAATTGGTGGCTGACTAAATACTTTTTTTCCCCACTGTATATGTCTACACTATGAGGTTGGAATAATACAATGAAATTGTGAAAATGATGATAATGCCCTTTAGTGTAAGAGCTGTTTGAAAAGACCGCCTGAAATTTCAGCCTGTTTTTGGTGGGATGGAGTTTTGGCTTGCCGGGTGGGCGATAAATTAGTTTATAGACCAATAAGAAAGAGTTCCAAGCCTCTCTGCCAATACGTGTTTTTTCTTCCATTTTCCCAACCCCACTCTGACCACTCCCAGACATTCCTATCTAAATTCTTGCTTGAGAAATTGCTCTTTGCTAAAAAGCTAGTTTTGTTTCTTTTTGACCATTTTAATTTAAAACAATCACAGTAAGCTACTTAATTGTTACCAAGAAATGATTTGATATGGAGATCAAAACGGCTGCATTGGACCTTTAATCATCTTTCCTGTCTCCTTGTTGTAGGGCAACCTGTTTGACTTTCTCAGGCTCACAGGATGGAGGGGATCCAAGGTGCTCTACTTTGGAGATCATCTGTACAGTGACTTGGCAGTGAGTCATACTATATTTAGTTAGTCTGAACTTTTGGTTACTGATACAGGCAGTGTGAATGTGATTTCAGAACACAGGAAATGCACACATTCATTTGTTTTAAGGACTGTGCCTCGCAATGTTGTGCTTACAATGTAATAACTTGTGGAATGCTGTGGCTAGTCGTTGAACTGGGCTGACTACTCATGCTCTCCTGCAGGACCTGATGCTGCGTCACGGCTGGCGGACGGGGGCCATAGTACCAGAGCTGGAGGTGGAGACCAGGGTGGTGAACACGGAGCAGTATGCACAGAGCCTCACCTGGCTGCAGGCACTCACCGGTCTGCTGGAACGCATGCAGGTACACTATAGGGTGTTTTACAACATAGAACTCAGCAAACTGTGAGGTCAAAGCAATAGGTTAAGCTACATATGTTGCATTTACCACGAGGGAGCTGGGATTGTGTAGAGACTTTGGATGGACACTGAATGAGAGAGATTTATTTGAAGAATATTGCCTTTATGGGATGTATTCCCAATCAATTGTACCCACACAAAAAACATGACTACAACAAGCTAATATTATGATTTTGCTAACCATCAGCCATGCAATTAAGAAAGGAGACACTTGACACCATGTACTTCTTGAATGTTGAGATGAAAGTATTCAAGTAAAACATTTTGTATTGAACCTGTGCAGATGCATCGAGATTCAGAGTCAAAGGAAGTTCTACAGGATTGGTTGAAGGAGAGAGAAGAGCTTCGGTGAGTGTAGTTATAGTAGATCAATTATACTTAATTTATCAAGACCGTCGGACAGCTAGTCAGACCTTAAGGATTCAGTGTCATTTTGACTTGACAAGCTTCGTACAGACCTATGAACTTCCTTCTACCCTCTTTCATTTTCCCCCTCACAGAGCTGTGACCAAGAACCTGTTCAACCCTCACTTTGGCAGCATTTTCCGCACCTGCCACAACCCCACCTTCTTCTCCCGTCGCCTGTGTCGCTTCTCTGACCTCTACATGGCGTCCATCAGCTGTCTGCTCAAATACGACCTCTCCTACACCTTCTACCCTCGTCGCACCCCCCTGCAGCACGAGGCGCCCCTGTGGATGGACCAGCTTTGCACTGGTTGCATGAAGACTCCCTTTCTGGAGGAGATGGCTCACATCCGCTGAGAGGGCCGCTCCGAGGTCTCCCAAACCTCAAACTGAATATAAAGAGGCAGGAACTGAGGCTATGCTGAGAGGAAGGAGAGTTGGGGCATGGTGCACAGATCATGAGTGCCACCTGCTGGGTTGTTGGATGCCAGTAGGGAAAGTGAAAAGGAAGGGAAAGAGGGATAGCTAGTCAGATACACAACTGAATGCATTCAACTGAAATGTGTCTTCCGTATTTAACCCAACCCCTCTGAACCAGCCTACAGGAAAATATCTGGCTATTCAGGTTACTCAATATCACTTGGTTGGCAAGGACATTTGATGGGTTAAGCCTTTTGTTACTTTTTAGGTTAGTTTAAGTTGAGGTTGCAACTTGTAATCAAAAACAATTTTAACATTAACTGTTGGTACATGGTTTGGATATCTGTTACTTGATTACTATTTTTTCTCTCTTCTCATTTTAACCATGTACTTAATTTAACTTCACTGTAACAGACTGATGTCATGTAATGACACATCTTATGACCTCATCAGTTTGAGTTATGAGTAATGGATCTTAAATGAATTGGCGTATAGTCTTGGCTGTTACTGTATGTGAGTATGACCATTCACATTGCAGTATGATGATGATTGTTGCCAGAGGTTCAGGGCAAGCTAAGTTGGTGCAGTCGCTAGAAATATATTTTGGGTAATTCTTGAATCAGGGTGGCATTTTTGCAACCATGAATTAACACTTTTTAAAATGACAAATAGTTACACATCATACATGTTTTTGTTTATCAATAATAAAACATAGGCTAATGCAAGTCCTTTATACTGTAAAACTTTTAAGTCCCAAATAAAATGACATTTTATTTTCTTGCTTAATATAGCTTGAAATGTATAGATGTAAGCTTAATTAGCCATTTGTGTCACTTCAAAGTAATAAATATGAGTTATAAGTACTTATCCAACCATGACTGCAGAAACACATCAACAATACAAATAGGGTATCTCCCTATCATAAACGAGACTCATAAATGAGAGTTGAGTGATACAAAATAAAAGTGTAATTTAGCTGACAATGGTTTATATATTGGCTCCTGGCTGTCAGTCCATTGGTCTCTGTGGGACAGCCAGTGGCGACCCGTCATTCAGGGCAGGTGGGGCAGAGCCTGTGTTTTTTGTTGCCTGTTTTGCATGTTATTTTGACATTAAAACGTGTCACGTATCAGTTTTGAAACAATGTAAAAAAAAATAAACAAATAATCATTGAGTTAATAGAGTCGCATACAAACATGGTCTCTTTTTTGTTTTCTTGAGTAAGGCAGCTACAAAATGCAGGTGTTTCAGCCTAGCTCAGTGCTTTCTGTGGTGAGCGGAAAATACAGAGCGTAGGGGTTGGTAATGTTCTCTAGTTGCGCTGTGATTGGGTAATGTTCTCTAGTTGCACCGTGATTGGCTCAGTGTTCTGTCACTCATGGGGACACTATGTCACCACCAAATCTAAGGGTAGAGCTCGAACATTGAAGCCCCTTGGGTGCTGCCATAGTTATATTAGAAGTGCCCATCCAAAATGTATGCACTCACTAACTGTAAGTCGCTCTGGATAAAAGCGTCTGCTAAATGACTAAAATGTAAAAAAAAAAAAAAAAAGAAGAAAGCTCAAGGTCATTGGCCACAAATAAAATGACGTCAAATCACGTTATATCTACAGTAGCTTTGATTGGACTGATAATGTCAACATCATACTTTCAAAATCTTAGCTAGCAGTCATCATCATCAATCATGAATGGCCCTCCTGTAGCTCAGTTGGTAGAGCATGGCGCTTGCAATGCCAGGGTTGTGGGTTCGATTCCCACTGGGGGCCAGTATGAAAAATGTATGCACTCACTAACTGTAAGTCACTCTGGATAACAGCATCTGCTAAATGACAACAACAAAAAAATTGACAATCTACTGGCAAATGCTTTTTCATAATAAAGAGAAATTATAGATAAAACGTATCGGTGCTCATCGGCCATTGGACATAAACATTACACAACAAGTTGGAAATTCAACAATGAGTGGTTTGGAAGGAATCAGTGGCTAACTGCAAGCATTGCAAAGCAATCACTAGCCTGATATTCAGTGGAGTGGGTGTCTGGGTTTAAGGGTCTCTTTTCCAAGCTTAAAACGATAAACATTCAACACTGGCCATGCTGTCAATCCAGCATGACTTCTGCTGCGCTCAAAACAACTGGAAACTCGGAACTGGGAAATCTGACTTCAGTGCGTTTAAGACAACTGGGAACTCTGAAAAAAACAAGCTCCGAATGGGAAAATACATTTTGAACGGTCATCCAACTCAGAATTGCAAGTCGGAAACTTGGGCCTCTTTCTAGAGCTCCGACCTGAAGATCACTGACGTCATCATGATTCGACCTTGTATTTTTTCAGAGTTCCCATTTGTCTTGAAAGCGCCATAAATCCAGAGAATGCCAGACTTTGATGACAAAATTTGCCGGAGAAGGACCGCCGCGCCACCTTCCTGTTCAAGTGAACACAGCACAAAAAGGTGATTCCAAAAAAATTGTTGTATGCTGCTTCATAAATGATGTAATATGCCAGGGAGATATGTATACTGTAGCTAAGAATTGTAATACTACGTGTATGTTGTGTAGTGTTGATGATCACAAGTTTACTGGAGAACGGAGACCAAGTAGAGACTTTCGGACAAGGTGGATAATTGTATAATATAAGGCAGTTTATTCAGAGGTAAAGATATCTGTAAATAGCGTGCACGGACCCGTTCGTCAACCTCGTAGGGAGATATCTGAGAGAGAGAGCCCCTAAACATTGTGTGCTGACATTTTATACAATAAAATGAAGTAGGTTGATTCTAGTAGTTCTGATCTTCTGATTGGTCCTGATGAGTTGGGCGAGGTCACCTCCAGGCTAGTGTCACTGTTGCATTGGCTCTGAGTCGGGTTCTCTGTCTTCAGATGTTCAGCCTAAGAGAAGGGGGTTTTTGTGTGTGTGTGTGCTTAACAATGATGATGTGTGTGTGTGTGTGTGCGTGTGTGTATGTGTGTGTGTGTGTGTGTGTGTGTGTGTATGTGTGTGTATGTTTAACAATGATGATGTGTGTGTGTGTGTGTGTGTGTATGTGTGTGTGTGTGTGGGGGTGTGTGTGTGTGTGTCCTCAGCGCAAGAACTCGTGAGTTGGGAGAACTGAGAGACCTATGGCGTGGGTGTTGTCCATAGCCACCTGCTGATAAGGCCGACAAGATAGAAGTCTTTTGTGCATTGTATTAAATACAAAGGCCCAACACAAGATGGGTCATGCACAAGATTTTAGTCAGACCAAGCTATAACATTATATATTTACTACGACAAATCCCTCTCTTCACGTCTCCCCAGAGACGTGACCAAGTAACAGTAAAGAAGGAAAACTTAAGACGTGACACAAGCTAACAGTGTAATTGGCAAAATAGGGAAAACTTTATCAGAAGATAAAGTTTTGATTCCCCCTCTTCACGTCTCACAAGAGACGTGACATAAAGCTTAAATGCTGCAATTTGGCAAAATAGGGAAAACTTTATCAGAAGATAAAGTTTTACATTCCCCCTCTTCACGTCTCACAAGAGACGTGACACAAGCTTAATAGTGCAATTTGGCAAAATAGGGAAAACTTTATCAGAAGATAAAGTTTTACATTCCCCCTCTTCACGTCTCACAAGAGACGTGACAAAAAGCTTAAAGCTGCAATTGGCAAAATAGGGAAAACTTTATCAGAAGATAAAGTTTTACATTCCCCCTCTTCACGTCTCACAAGAGACGTGACAAAAAGCTTAAATGCTATTCATCATCCAGATATCCTTGGTCAGCATCGTCAATAGCAAGCAAAGGAAACATCTGACCGTTATCTGCAGGATGTGGATCAATAGCGGTGGTTATAATCCTGGTTGTCAGCGTCCGTATGCATGGAATGCAACAGCATCCACAAAGCACTAGAATTGCAGCAAAAACAGAGATGGATACAAGTATAGAAGAAACAAGCGTTTTATATTTACCAAACGCATCCATCCAAGAGTCCCACATTGAAGTATCCACCCCTGAGTGGCTCTTCATTTTGCCATTAAGAGTTCGTAACCCTTCCAGGGCGACAGTCAAGCTGCCATCTGTGGCTGTATTGTTGGGAATAAAGGTACAACATTGTTCACCAAACATAGCACATACTCCTCCTTTTTCAGCCAGGAGCATGTCGACAGCAATACGATTTTGGAAAGCCATGAGAGAGGTCGCAGCCAACTGGCCATGCACCGCCTCAAAACCTTGTTGTGTCCAATTGCCTAATTTTTGAACATTAAAATGGACATAATTGATTCTGTCAACATTTTTATTAATCGTGCACCACCAGCAAAATGAAGATTCAAAACCTGCGGCTACTTGGTCAATCAATTTATACTCATCTGGTACCCCCCTAGGGACCCCAATTGCATCAATGTAGGTTGGGTCCCCATGAGTAGGGCCCACAGCGCGCCTGGTCCTGGTAGGAATTAAGTCAGACACATGGGTCACCAGCTCCTGAACGCCTGTTGGATACACAGAAATTGGTAGCAAAAGAGAGACTAGTGCACAGGTGCCTGTGGCATTTCCAGGCAGTCCATCAAACAGACGAACGCCTCCACACCACCACCAGACATCAGCCCTGGAAACAGGTTTAAACTCAGTATTAGGCGTATAGATAAACCGACACCATCCAACAGGTAACATACCCAACAATGGTAGACCTTTCGTGAGATTAACACAGGTAAAGTTAGCTCTAGCCACCTGATAGGAAAAAATTGGTTTCTTAGTTACTTTAGTAACCAAGGGATGAATTACGTCCCATAGTGTACAATTGGCGGAAGGGTTGTCATGTTTCATGACAGACAGGAAGCATTCTGGCGTAATGGCGGCAGGGATAATGCGAAGCAATGGCCGTGCCCCCATACAAACCACACAACTCTGATGAGTCACCCTTGCCGCTTCCTCAGTCAACAAGAGCCAGTTGTTAGAAAGGCCGGAGACACCTGTAGCGGTCAAGATTGCATCATCCAAAGTAGGTGGAGTGGTAACCATGGTAATTGGTCCCCATCTACCTCTACCTGTGGGTTTCACAATGTTTTTTCTATCGTCCTTAATTGTAGAAGTGGAAGGGTCGGGTGTTGATACAAAACAAACAATCAAGTTCCATTTAAAATAGTATATATAAAATGGAGGCCTATTTCGACTATATGGACCAGTGTCCATATATGGAGCCAATATGAAATATTGGCAGCCCTCCCTCTGGCCTGGTGGGATAATTAACTTCAGGCCATTTTGTTCTTTGGCCAATGTAAGTCCCCTTCGCCATAATAAGACGTTCCGTCCTGTTGAATAACTTGACCAATCAGGACCTGTCTCGGCGACTAGGTTTTTCCAGGACCATTTATCCAAACCCCCCAATGTCATGTACCAATGATATTGGACTT